ATATCGAATGACATCATCATGATTTTTCCTAAATCAAAAAATGAGTTCTACTTGATGTCATTATGATATTATTATGATTTTGTGTTCTACCTGGGACATTGGCTAAATGTTGGTCTAATGTTGGTTATATTAGAAATGCATTGGCCGATATCGTCCAACGTAAAGCCAATATTGGCCAACGTATTAACAATATTGGTCTAATATTAATGCAATATTAAACCAATATTGCTAAATAGACATATTGGCCAAATAAAGAAGGCATCCATCTTACAATATTGGAATACTAGATTTATATTATTTCCCAACATTGCGCTAATATATTGTGCTACTAGGAATCTTATCCCTAGTAGCACAATGCATTGGCTAAACATTGGCTAAATGTTGGTCTAATGTTGGTTATATTAGAAATGCATTGGCCGATATCGTCCAACGTAAAGCCAATATTGGCCAACGTATTAACAATATTGGTCTAATATTAATGCAATATTAAACCAATATTGCTAAATAGACATATTGGCCAAATAAAGAAGGCATCCATCTTACAATATTGGAATACTAGATTTATATTATTTCCCAATATTGCGCTAACATATTGTGCTACTAGGAATCTATCTCTAGTAGCACAGTGCATTGGCCGATATTGTCCAACATAAAGCCAATATTGGCCAACGTTATAACATCAGTTGGTCTAATATTGATGCAATATTGGCCAAATAAAAAAGGCATCCATTTTACAATATTGGACCAATATTGGGAATACTAGATTTACATTATCTCCCAATATTATTGCGCCAATATTATTCGACATATCTGGCCAGATATATTTGAGAAAAGCAAAACGTTTTACGAGCATGAATGTTTTAGTGGATGCCACGCCGATTTGTCCTGAAAAAAGAGTTCCTGATGGATGTAAATAAATTTTCATTAAAAATAATTCTTTTAACACTTCAGTTTTGCTCTAGAGCGAGGATTTGTGGTTAACTTAATTTCGGTCGAAACGCCACGTTATTCTGTTGTCACTGATTCAAGTGACGTTCGAGTCAATCCGTCTCGAGTGGAAGGCCACTCGAGCGGCGAGCTTCGCGAAAATGTCGAAAATTATGTCGGCCGTAAAGCGAGCGAAGAGTCGCGGGAAGGCGCGTGCGCGATAATTAAGAAATCGCGTTCGAAGTAAAGAGGCCGCGAAGCAAATCGCGTGATGTGAAGCGGGAGATCGTGTCGATGAAGTAGCAGGAGCCGCTGAGAGGCGTTTACATAATATTTCCCGTGAATCGACAGTTTTTCGGGCGACCGTTTTCACGGCGAGAACAACGCGTTCTATAACGTATGAATGTCTCTTCAAAACCGAGACCGAAGACGATCTAGGAAGAAACAAACTGGAGGCCATCGCGCCTATGTTCAGTCGGCAATGAGATCGATCGAATTCTTCACATCTACATCACATAGCCTTCGTATCTGTGATTTAAAAGGAAAATCAATGGTGAACCGTTAAAACGTCACGGACGAAAGTGCTTCCTTTTTTCTACACGGAGAGAATTTTCTTTGAAAATTTACCCCGAAAATCATGTAATCGTGGAACAACGTGGCATTTTGAGGACCTTTTTGAGAGTTTTTGGAAATTTTACCATATATTTTACTAGTAAAATGTATGGTAAAATTTCAAAAAGTTCACAAAGTTCTTCAAAATGCCAAATTGTCCCACGATCCCGTGATTTTCAGGACAAATTTTAAGAGAAAATTCTCTCCGTGCAGGGCCCGGCGAATCCTTTTCTCTAGCGTAAACTCGCGAAAAGCGAAAAACTTCATTGACCAATTCAATATTTATTAATGAGAATTTTCACTTTTCACGAGTTCACGCTTGTGAAAAAGATTCATGATCGAGGGCCAGGGGCTCGATCATGAATCTTTTCTTCTAGCGCGAACTCGTGAAAAGTGAACAATTCGATTGAAGAACTTCACTATTCGTCAATGAAATCTTTCACCTTTCACGAATTTACGCTAGAGGAGAAGATCCCCGATCGAGCCCCTGCAATTAGAGATCCACGGGGTGCGGTGCGTTGAGGCGCTCGAAAGGCGCGTAAAATTGCAATTGAAAAGATACAGATTGCGTCGGCGCCGCCTCGCGCGACGGTCACCGGGCAAAGATCGATTCGAGGCGAATCGGAATCTCGAGCAAGGTAAGTCTTCAAAAAATCTCTCTCCCTTTCTCCGTCTATCTATCTCTGGTCCTCGTACGCACGTCCCCAATGTTATTACGCAGCATCGGCTAGCTGCATCTCCCGCACACGCGGACCGCGCGACGATATCGTGCGGACGCAGTGCTACATGCGGTCTTGTATACATGTATCTATATATACATATACATATAATATGTATACATATATATCTGAATATATATTATATACATCACACGTGTACGTGCGAACGTGCGCGCGCGCATAGGCACACGCGCGTACACATTCATAGACGCGGTGGGTATATATACATATATATATATACATATATATGTCGTATCGTCATCATCGCAGAAGTGGAGTGAGGTAGAGGCCACCCACTCTTTCCCACAGCAGGTTTTTCCCACGCCCCCCAGGATAACCCCAACATCCTTTTGCGGCAGCAATTCCACGGTCCGTGGGGGCGCCGCTACGTGGGGCGAGAGGGGGGGACGGGTTGAGTGGA